AGAGTGAATCAATTGAACACATCTAGGCTGTTCATAGAGGATAATTTATTTATTTAGCAAGGCCTTCGGGGAGCAGACTAGACAGGGAAATTGACTTTCAGAATTAAGGTGATAAAAATCTGTTTATCGCAGAGGGCACTAGAGTACACAGTACCACGTATCTCCACCTAGCTTGGAAGTATTCCCAAAAGTCCACTTGCATCCCCGTTTCCTAGGTTTGTGTAAGAGGTTGGGCAAGGCTGTTCCTTTGCCTGCTCTCAGGCCCTGCCCCTCTTCCCCCTTCTACACAGAACACGTTCTGCTCAGGAAAGAGGATATTCTAGAGTAGAAATCTTCCTCTTTCTCCTCCCACCTCTTTCCTCTTTTTGTCTCTGCCTCCTTTTCTTCTCTGTCTTCTTTTCCTTCTTCCTTTTTTTTAATTTTTTTTAAAAGTTTTTTTGTTTTTTAATTTATGATGATAATTATTATTGTTCAATTTACTACAGGGCACATGTGCTCATCAGAGAGAGACAGAGATACAAAGTGAGAAAGCAAGCTGCCCGGCTGGGACTTGAACCATGGTTGTGATATGGGAGTCCAGCACCTTCACCACACCACCTGCTGGCCCCTCCTTTTTTCTTTATAGTGTACTGGCTAACAGCCATTGAGCACTTAACGTATCACTTGTTACCTCCTTGTAAGAGCGCATGTAATCATCTTAATAGCGCCATGAACAGAGTGTATGTTCCCTGCCTAAGAAAAAGAAAGGTTGAGTAACTTACACTAGTCACCCAGTGAGGGCCTCAAGGAAGGAGATCTCCAAGCCCATCTTCTCTGGGTTCTATTCTCTGCTGTGTCTTGTCTCGGGGAGAGCACATGGTGCTGGAGTTGATAAAGCCTGTACTCAGTAGAACTGGTTCACATAGCTTGGACCTTTGGAGCCAACTCATTAATATATCTGAAGTTTCCCAGTCTGTAAATGGGAAAAACAATGTAAAGTGGTCATTTATCTATGACATCTAGAAAATACAATAGTAGGACTAGCAGATGGCATAATAGTTACGTCGCTGGATTCCCACGTCGTCAACCGCGGTTCAAGTCCCAGACCCGGAGACTTAATACTCATGCCAGGCGCATGTACATGCATGCCCAAAATCCTCAGAGGAGAATGGAGGAGAAGGGATTGCACAATGGTCATCCCATATGTGGGGGTGATTTCTCTCTTTCTGTATCTCTGTCTCTCTGGTGAGCACACACACCCTGTAGCAAATACCACTCTTAAAAAAATTATTTTAAGGAATTCACCACATATTGTAAGGATGATTGAAATCTCATGACAACATACCTCTGGAGGCCTAGGTAATTTATGATCCCTTACTATTTAATATTCTTACTTGCAATCCTCCTGCCTCAGTGTCCTAGTTGCTGGGACTATTGGCACACCGCACCAGGCCATTAGATTGGATGAGGAATTGAGCCTGGGACTCCTAATCTAAAAAATGTGTCAGTCTTAGCTGCTCCGTGCCACGGCTACTGGGCAATGCCACATGTTGTTTAGAAATAATATGCATTTTAGATTGATTAAATCGGGCTAATTGGCCTGTGCATTACCTCACATTCTGACCATTCTTTTGTAGTGAGAACACATAAAATCCACTCATTTAGTAACTTTCCAGGATATAACACATCGTTCTTAACTGTAATCACCATGCTGTACAAAAGGTCTCTTGAAAGTATTCCTCCTGTGTGACCGAAGTCTGCATCCTTTGACCAACATCTCCCCAACTCCAGCCCCTGGTAACCGTCATTCGGTTTGCCAGTTCTATGACTCCAACATTTTTTAATTCCATATTTAATTGAGATTATGCAGTATTTGCTTTTCTGTGCCTGGTTTATTTCACTTAACATGTTTTCCAGTTCATCCATGTTGGGAAAAAGAGGATTTCCTTCTTGTTAAGGCTGAATAATATTCCACTGTATATCTATGCCATATTGTCTTTATCCATTCATCCATTGATGGACAACTTGCTTGATTCCATGTTTTCACTTTTGTGAATAATGCTATAATGAACATGGGTGTACAGATAGATATCGCTTTGACATTCTGATTTCAATTCCTTTGGATATATACCTAGAAGTG